TGCACGTGCCCTATAGCGAAAACCTCTCCAAAAAAACCCCCAAAAAAACAAAAAAAAAGAGAAGGCATCCTCTAAAGCCTTGTTGAACGTCCTCATTTTACAAGTAAAATATAGAAAGTTAAAGCACAGAGATGTTAGATGTTTTGTCCAAGGCCCCACAGCTGGTTAGCAGGCTTGGTCTGGTGAGTTTTCTCCCGAGCGCAGTTCCTCTAGGGAAAGTCCGTGGTCCAGGGGGCCTCTTCTGCGGAGGTATTGGTAATACTGGTCGTTAACTAGTCAACCCAAGTTCCCAGAGCCTAGGTTCTGCTTCGGATGGAGGATAAGGAAGAACAGAACTTCCCCACCACTGCTGTGCCAGGGCTGGGGTGTGCCAAGGGAAACCCCCCACCTACGGGCAAGTACCAATGAGGCCTCCTTCGTGGTCATGGGTATGCCAGGCCAGTGACGTGCCCTCCTCAGAGCTAGCACTAGCACCCAGCGCCCTTGGTCCCATTCTGACTTCCATCAGCCAAGGCTCCATCTCCTTTGGAGCCACTGGCACCTCACCGTTATCTGTGCTGCCTGGCGACAACAGCTGGGTGCATCTGTTACCCTTGTGTTTGTGGTCAGTTTCTTAGACTTCCCCAACCCGCCCATCCCGCCCCCTCTTTTACGAGACAAATGACTTTGGGAGGTTGAGGGGGGAGTTTGGTTTCCATAGACCCATTTACCATGGTCCAAAGGCTTTATTCTAGGTCAGAGGACCTGGCTAAGCGAAGCTGGCAGCACCTCAAATTAGAGCAGAGCCCCTTCTTGGCCCTACTTTAGCCTTATAAAAAGCCAGAGGCTCTAGAAATAGCACATCGGAGGACAAGAGGCCGCGCTTCTTTTTGGCACCAACTTACTGTGTGACCCTAAGCCAATGTATGTGTCTCTCTGTCCTTAATCTTTCTCCTCTAAAGGAGAAACATCTTTCTGCCTGTATGAACTATTTAAAGATGAATGAATGGCTTTGGGACTGTTTTCTTTCTCCAAGACCTGGGGCTGGATCTAAGGATGACATTTTTTGTGTCCTGGTATCCCTGGGACACTGCCTTTCCTAGGGGACAGGATTTTCGGGTGTTGCTGAGTGTCATTACTTACACCACCGTCCCCCCGCCCCCGGCCCCGACTGCAGATGCGTTCCGCACAAGTGCAGCTGGCGAGGGCTGCTTTTCCAGACCAGGGGTCATCTTCTCCCCCTTCAGGGACTGGTTACTTTGCCTTCTTTTTTGCAGGCTCCCATCATCCTAATCATGTTCCCCTCTTCCGCCCAGAAAACACCCACAGATGGGACTGTCATGCCCACCCCCTCTGCAGGCAGAGTGCGTGCTCTGGCCAGCTGTGGGGGATGCTGTTTGGGAGTAGTGTTTGTGTCCGTGCCTGGAACACATTAGGAAGGTTGCCAGCATTGTCTGGGCTCATGGTGGTGGTGGTAGCAACTACCTCTCCTGCTGCTCCAGGAGCACTGACTTTGGGCTATTTGGAGGCTGACTCAAAAAGCTACTGATTTCCCCCACCCCTTTTTTTTTTTTAAAGAATTATTTTTCTTTAACTTTATGTATCTATTTTCATTTGACCAGAGAGATACAGAGAGTGAGAGTGAGAGAGAGAGACAGAGAAAGTGAGAAAGCAAGCCACCAGGTCCAGGACTTGAACAGGAACCATTCTTCCTGTTCATGTTTCAAATCTCACTTTCTTTTTGGCCTGGGAGTTCCGATTTCCCCCCAGAAATCATGTTGCTGGGCTACCATGTGCTTGAGGAGTTGCTCCAAGATCCCAGAAGTTGCATTTAAATCTTTTGGTTAAGAAGTAACTGCCAGGGCAGGCAGGTGGCACTGGACTGCCACATGGCCGCCCACCGTTTGAGTCCTGGATCTGGCGGCTTGCATTCTCACTTTCCCCCCCTGTCCCTCTCTGGTCCTGGTCAAATTTAAATAAATAAATGAATAAGTAAATAAAGTTAAATAAAAAAAAAATTAAAACAAAAAGTCATTGCCCTGAGTGAGTCCCATAGCCCACTGGTTAAGAAAGCAGGATCCTACATGACCGACCGTGGTTTGAATCCCAGTCTTGGCACCTTCAAAACCATGCCAGGCACATGTGTGTGCATGCTCAGTATTCCAGTAGGATGGAGAAATAGAGAAGTGATTGTGGTGTGGTCAAGCCCCACTGGGAGGGTGCTTTCTCTTTCTTCCTCTCTCTCAGTCTCTGTCTCTAGCAAGCACACATACCTTCTGGCAGTTGGACAGCTCCGTGCAGAGAAGACAGTCGGGCGGTACATGCTTTATCAGCCCTGGGCATATGCTGTCAGGAATATTATCAGTGCCGCCCACCTCCTCCCTTGCTGCTCCCTTTTCCCACTGTGGGCAGCAGTTGGAGTGGCTTTTGAGTCAAGCAGAGCCCAGAAGCTCAGTCTCCAGCCACAGACCTCCCCCAAGCTTCCATGGTGGCCATGTCTCAGGGCTCCCATGGCACCTCATACATGCTCCGACTGTGCATTTATCTCTAGACTTCAAGGCTCCTGCCTTATTTATGTCCAGATCTGCAGTGCCCAGCTGTGTTTGGCAGAAAGTGGGTGCTTATTGAATGTCTATTGACTGGGTCCTGTGCCCTGGCACTCTGCTCTCAGCCAGGTCAGAAAAAATGGCGCCATCTCCCCCCCAACCCCCAGCCGCAGCATCTTCCTCAGAGCCACACTTACTTGCTATCTGTGCACCTGGGTCTTTTCACTGCCATGGAAGCTTCTGTGGACCCCGATCCAGATTTTTCCCTAGACCACTGGTGAGGATTCAGCCCACTCTTCTGTCTAGGACCACTGTCTAGAAACGTCTTGTAGATTCATGATTCCTCTTTCCTGCAAGTCTGAACTTCAGGTTTCAGAGTCTGAGAGTCCCCAGAACACTTGGAACACCCCAGACGACTTGCAGCACCATCTCTTATCACAGGGCTCAGAAGCCATGAGGAAGTGACCAGGCAACAAGCCTGGCAAAAACCCGTCCTGAGTGTTCCTGCCACTCAGTCCTCCCACCCCCGCACGTACTTCTGAATGCACTAGGAAGCA